TGAGGAACCAATTTGGAAAATTCATTTTTTATTTTATTTGAGAAGATCCCAATCATATTTAAACAAAATGCCACCTCTAAGAGTGAATTAAGAATGCAGTTTATAACCTTTTCATTCATCGGCTTATTATTAGTGGCAGAAGAATACTTCAGAAGGCTAACGAGAGGTGAATATATAGAAACAAGTGTACTCGTATATGTAGTTGGCAACTGTATTCTATTTAACACATATCGTATATGTGTATCGACAGTTTGCACAGGTTTTATCTAATCATAATCATATTTTGCACACAAGCAAAACTTTACATAGCAATTCATCACAGAGGATTATTTAATTTAAGTCCTAAATGCAATTTATGATTTATACTAAATACACGTTTATGCCATTCCATTTAGCGTAGCATTTCGTAAACATTACTAGGCACGAGACAAACAGCTATCAGATTTGAGCGATTGCAAGCAAGCTTATCATGCATTATTTTCGTGCATTTAATAAAATTACAGTACTACTACTTAATACTAATACTATTATTATTTTTTATTACTATGTAGGTATGGTAGGTATTTATAATTAAAAGAAATACCAGATTTACTGTTAAATAGGTTAAATAAGGTCTTTATGCATCGTCTGAAAACAGCTTATTGGCAACAAGTAACAACGGGTGAGTAAATAGCAACCCTAACCTACGTATGAAAAATTGTATGATTAATTACAGTTGACTGTGATTTTATTCCATACCCGTCGTGCAACAATATGTAAGCAATGCAATAAATAAGCCCGCTCTTTTCGTCAAATTCTTCTGTATTCTTAGAGACCACGTTAGATCCGAAATTCCAATGTTCTTATGTTACACTATATACATAAAACATACACAGACACAAGGTACATTACATAAAACACCACATTAAGTTTATAAAACATTCAGGCACAATGTGTAGCTAAAGGCTACCAGCTCAGAATACGCTGTGCGAGTCACAGCACTGGTTTTCAGCTGGCCCCTGACATTTGGTCCAACAGTTAGAAACTACACTGTGTGTGTTACACGGATAAATCGCAACTCAATGAACATAAAATCTAAGTAACGTACGTTGTTAAAGATATTCCGGTATATTGGTATTTCATTTGTAGGCTAAAGCAGTTTTTGTTTTTTTATTGTATAGGCATAACAAACAGCTACAACATGCAGTTTACAAAATAATCTAAACAAATTGTTCGTTATTCGATGCTTTTCACCGAGTGAGTGAGGTTATCCGAGCCTCATTTCCCTTTCCTTCCCTCTAATTTTAAAGAGGGTAGGGTCACACAAAGGTTGGCAGCACAATTGTGTCTCTTGAGCTGTAGTGTTTATGGACGGCAATAACCACCTAATATCTGGTGATCCGTCAGCTCATTTGTCTTCATAGTACATTAAAAGAAAAAAATATGGTGATTTATGTCTGCACCTTGAAGAAAACTGCAGTTTCCTTACTTGGTTTCCTACTTCGTGTAGTCTAAATGCGGAAACCGGAGCTCACAACCAATACCAATACCAATTATACCTACTTCGTGTATAGATGCACTGAAATGAAGGTAGTGGTAGAAGGTGTAGAAATGTCGGGGTACCTCCTTTTTATTACACATTTTAGCTGGTTTTATTTTATATGGTTTTTATTGACATAACTTACTTATCTAGAAAACTGTCATTGTCACGGTAAACTTTAAAATACTGTTTTGAAAAAATGAAATGTGCAGGATGATTATCAGAACTTCGTACAATTTTGTTTAGGCACCAGGCATTACTTAACGTTTATTGCAAAAACATTGATAGGTCAAAAGAATTGTCCAAAAATCCAGTAGCAATTAAATATTAAAACTTCCTAAGAACTAATATTATAATTTTTATAATGGAATTTGAAACTACTGCAATTTTGAGAAAACACAGTTTTTACACTTATACTATATTTTTTTAGCTGAATTTCAACGACATTTTTACTACCGATGCCCAACAAAAAAAGAAGATGAGTATTTGATGATTACTTGTCAGTGCAATACGTGTCAGTTTCAAATAAAAACAATTTAGATTTCCCTTGAAAATGCTATATCATGGTGTCTTGAAAGACGTCACAGTCTGCGAAACAAAACTGGTTACATCTGTGTCCAGTGTCAACTGAAACTGTATTAAGGTGAGAAAATATGCTAAAAACGAAAAACAATAAGGAGTAACCTACTCTGTTGTATGAAAACGTCAACAACAAAAATGATGTTTTGCGTGGCGTGACGTAACACTTTCTGATTGGTGTTCGCTGACACGTGACTTCATGCCTATTTTGTTAGTTTTTTTTAATATTATTTTTATAATCTTAATTTTTATTATTAATTTTTATAATCTTTAACTTTTATGATAAATCGACTGGTTTTTTCTTATTTATGTCTCTTCTAAACTAAACTTAAATCTGACTAAATTTAAATCTTTTAAACAAGGCTAAAGTAACTATTTATATAATAGATAGATTTTTTTACTTCGTTTCAAAGTCACGTAGTTAGGTCCATTACCGTAGTGTTGTGACTGTTCAAATTCACTTTTATATGAATAATCGTTAAAATGTATGAATAATCGAACCGTTTTTTTTATACAATGGTTATAATCCTGTAAAATTATTATTATAAAATTGATTATTAATTAAGAAAATACAATGAATTATTTATTTTGTACAAAAGTCTCCAGTACTGCGAGCTTGGAACGAGGTGAACGTTCAACCGGTGCCTAAAAAAGGAGATCGGTTCAGCCCCACAACTACCCTTCTGGTCTGTTCTTACAGTATAGTTATGAAATTGTGCGTTGTTACATTCGTAGTGGTGAAAGCTTTCAAAGCTTAAATGACGCAAAGCGATTGTACTAGTCAGAAAGTATACCACAACTCCGAAGTCGAGGTATCCGTAAAGCTAAATCTGTTAGATTACGGTCAGTTTAGAACCCCGTCCGAGGTACGGCAAGGTAAGGTTTGCAACAGAGGTCAACAAATCAACTTCTTTGAACGGGATATTCGAGCAAGCACTTTGTGACTATCTGAATGCAAAACATGGTAACCACTGAATCATTCGCGGTGGTCCCGTCCCATGACTGACCTCGGCCTTGACCACAGGACTTAATACCATGTGACTGTCATTTGTGGGGTGAAATAAGAAGACACATGTTTTGTGTGTGTGTGAATGTTAACAGCCATGCTCATTTCTACAGAAATGAGTAAGGATGACCCCTGATGGGGGTGGTGTATTACCCCTCAATAAACCTAAAGCAGGAAAGCGACAGTCAGTCTCAGTCTTCTGTTGACTTTGATGGGAAGAAAGTACATTCTGCAGCTGAATCCATTCAATGCATCCATTGACTCCAAATTCTGTGTGTCTAGGTTTGAACCTGACCCATCAACCTGCCTGTCTCTTAAAGCACTTAAATCCGTCCAGTTCTTAAAGAAAAACAGAAAGACATAGTAGAAGGTAGTATTAAAACCATGGGGTTCGATAAGGTGGTGGTGGAATTCATTTCTGCTATATCAGCAAATAATTTTCTCAAGTCTCCAATTGTAAGACAAAATAATTATGTGGTAAATATTCCCTGCTTCCAGATATTCCGTATGGGTGTTGTTAGGGATATCCCTACTAAATGAACTCTGGAGAAGCTTGTCTCTGGAATCTCTGTCCCTAAAAATTGTGGAGAGGTTGTTCCAGCTAGACATCCTAATGTTAAAAATGGAAAAGATGGATCCTCCATTTGGGTCCCATCTAACTCTTTAGTTCTTATATTTTTGGGACAGTCTTCCAGAGTCCAGTCTTTTGGTGCCGTCTGCACAGTATCTGACTACGATCTAACCTGTTTTTTGTATAGTGGTGGTAGTGATTGTGGTACTGATAGCAGATTTTCTTAACAAGATAAAAATCAATCAAAAATGTCATCTCAGGAAAACCTAAGTTACATGGAAGCATCAGCCAGATTTCCAGTCTCCGATGTGGCTATATTCCGAGGCTGCTGCCAGTCCTCTCCTGCTAATTTCTCACCAAACCATCTATCCCTAATACCTCTGTCTTCTGCATCTCCTTCTTAATCATACAAAAACCAGTCAACCTTTCTATGTCTGAGAAGTCGTATGATATTCATGCTCACAATTCAATTACTCAATCCCCAACTTCTACCCATCCTAATGGTTGTCGCCTTAAATCCCCTACTGAAACAACTCCTCTTGCTACTCCTAATGACAATCTTGTTTGTCTTTACTCCTAGTGACAACTTCTTTGCTCTTTGATTAATTTTTTGTCTAAAATTTCAAAGACTAACAGGTTTATGTTGGTTGATTAAATAAGAGGTATCTTGTTTGTTATGTTAGATACTCCTACAGTTGTATTGGAAGACCTGGAAAGATTAATTGGAGAGAGCAAGGTCGTAACCTTGCAGTTCTTGTTGAACAACTACTTTCAGCTCTCACTAAAAATAATGCTAGAAGCTTTAATATTTCAATATTTCTCTTGACTTCGAGACAATAGAAATTATGGTTATGCCGGTTGTACTTCAAACTCCTCTGGTAGTGATCACATTCCTATTTTAATTTTTTACTTTGCCACTGATTCATATGCAACCGAAACTCTACATCCCCCCCTCCAATATATTCCACCCTGAAGTTGGATAAGGAAAAGACGAATGTTCATGGAAGAGATCCAAGTCTCGCAAACTTAAAAATGCAAATAGCACCAGGATGTAAAGATAAACACAAATAAACTGTATATATACCTATTATTATAAATAAATATAAACATTTAACTTGACATAGTTATTATGGCTTACATCAGTACCAGATGCCTCATAAAAGAAACAAAATTGTTCCAGAGTTGCCAAGGCAGATACATTTTTATTTAGTTGAATACCAAGTCTAATAGCTAAAATAAAAACTAGAAATATTAGATTAGAAGATTAGAAATATTTTAATTATAAACAGACATTTACAAAATATATTTAATTTACAGCACAGATTTTATGTTTTGGTAAACCAGTTGGAGTCTTCGTTTGATTCAAGGCCAGCGGCCGCTTGCATTTTATCGAATGGCAACATCATAGGATCTGTGGGCGGCATTTGTACTGTTGCAGCGAGTATTGGTGTTGTTTTACCTGCAACAGGAGGAGACCATTGAGGAAAGTAGTTGCAGGCTTCCAAAGTGATCTTTATACCGTAATTTTCGTATGTAATCTTGGAAGAGGTGTTACGGGACATATGGGATTACGGGCTAAGCAAATCTTTCGATGCTATTTACGAGTGAGTGGGGTTAGAGGAGAGCCAGTCCCTCTTACCTCATATTTTGGGGCGGCACTGCACTTCTTGAGATGGAGGCAATGGGCAGCAGTAGTCATTTAAAAATATATATGTCAATGAACAAAAAAACCTAAATATTGCCCAAATTGTTGTTTTCTTTATATGATACCCAGTAACAGTTGTATTGCATAGAAAGCAGAAAAACTTATTTTGACCCCTTGAATCTCGACCCTTCAAATAAAATACACACCCAACTTTATATATATTAAATACATATATATTATGAGTTATTAGCAGCAAATTCCTACATTTCTCACTTTGTAAAAAAGCTCAAAGCTTAAATAAAAACCACTAACCATACTTAATTCTAAATACGTCATGTCATCTCTTGTCACTGTACTTTCAAGCATATACACAATATCAAGGGTCGAGATTCAGGGGCGAATAGACCATAGACCATTCTATCGTATCTTCTTACTGTTCAACTTTCGTACTTTCTTCTTACCGATGTTTTCTTAAATAAACATTATTCAAATTACCTTCCTTTACAAGTAGAACTTTAACTAGTGATCTTTCACCACCCTGTCCGGTTACCGGACGGAATAGAACATCCGGATTTATTTGATCATCGAATACCTCTTCGATTTTCGTCGGGAACTTTAGTTTACCGCCCGGTGAGAGCAGTGGCACCTGTGAATTGGAAGCAGTGAGGTATTAAACTATGAATATAACTAAATAGAGATAAAACATGTTTATTATCATTAAAGACTCAGGACTACATATTTTGATTGGCATTTTTTTTGTGCATCTACTGTGGCTTTCAACTATCAACAGAAAAAGTCTCAAGAAATTTAGTTAGGGGCTTTTTCCATTGTGGTAAAATTCATAAAGCTGACACATTATTTATTAATAAAAACCAACAATTCATGTCACTACCAAGCAACCTTGTCATTTGAAAATCATTAATGATATTATTTATGTTTAATAAACTTTTTATACAGTCTACTTTTTCTGAATGAACGCCTCAATACTATGAAAACTATATTATCGAGTGACCATGCAAAAACAAGAGTTAAATGTAGTGGTTTGATATGCTTGGGTATCTTATTACAAACGGGAATGCATGTGCATTCCCGTTTGTATTAGCCATAGTTTTATTTTCTTTAAAACAGATAACTCCCACACTAGGAATATATATCGTGTGTCACTGTATACTTTGGTATTTTAATAATTTGTGGATCACACTAAGTGTTTTCCTATGTGGGGATCGAACCCACAACACAGCTCAGTAGAAAGCGGTGAGGTGACCGCTTCAACCACTACGCCTGTGTGCATGTTATAGCCATAAAGTGTCTTTACCTTGACCTTATTTGAGTAGGGCTGCAATATTATCTTTAAGATTACTATAACTAATATTCTTAAGATTAAGATATTAACCTTAATATACGGATTGGACACTTTATAGTTGATAGTGTGTACGTGGAACAATATGGCCAGGCCGATAACAGCCTTCTCCTTAGATGTGTTTTCTATGATGAGCGTCACACGGAACACTGGACCCAAACCTTCAACCTGAAAATCAGATAATTTAAATTTTAACAAAATGTGTTTTTACTGTGGCTGCTAAGCCAGAGGTCGTGGGTTCGCTTCCCATCTAGGACAAATAATTGTGTAATAAACACTATCATTTGTTCTGTTTCTAAGTGTAATTTATCTATTATATATATCTATACACATATAAATAAGTGTATTTATCAGCAGTCTGATTACCATTGTGCAGGCTCTGCCTAGTTTGGGATCAGACGGCCGTGTGTGACAAGTGTCAAGATTATTTATTTTAATTTTAAAAAACGTTTAGAAACCTCATAATTTAGTAGCGTTAATTGATCAGTCTGTGTATTATGAAAAATATTCACGAAGCGCCTATTAAATGATTGTGAGCATAACACCTAGATGTTACACTTAGAAGTTCTATTTTAATTAATTTTTGTTAATTTTAGTTTATTAAATGTTGAGTAATGCATTAAGAAATTGCTAAAACTACATAAGGACGGACGAAGGACGCGTAAGGACTCGCAACCTTCATCTCATGAACTGTTTTTTAACATGATTAACATACCTCAGCCGTGAGTCTCAAAGAGTCCATGGGGCCGATTCCTATTGAGTTGTCGGACTTAACGTGAGCCTCCAACAAAGTCTTCGCCGCTAACAATCGAAGTCTGTTCAGCTCGTGTTGGAAAGTCTGGTGCATTGCTGGAACATTTTATTGTACAATCACTTTAGGTGAAATAATTTGACCAACCACCAGTCTGTGAAACAAAACTGTTTTTCGACTAACTATTATCAATACTACAACTGTTTTGATTTAGTGACGAAATGTTTCTAGTGTAAGTGACACTCGACACAGAATCGGACGACGCATCGTTTGACAAATGGAATACGTTAATTTGAACCAATATAAAACACATTTATATAAGATACATGCTAATTATTCAAAAAAATACCAAAAAACCCAACTGTGTCAAAACGTATACTAAAAATTTACTTTTTATATACTTTTTAAATATATTTGATTTTTATATACTAACTGTCTCTACTCTACTCCATAAGGACACCTCATGCCATGTCCATGAATAAAGCCATTTAGGCTACAGAGTGTACCAAAGAAACATGCATACTTTATATACATACAACTTTTATATTTTGATGAGACGGACAAACTGTTTTAGGATTTTTTTACAATAATTATTATTATGCACTCGAAAATATAACCTTTCTTCTGGGGTAGTCGGATAAAACCTACCTAACCTAAGATAATAAGGCATTCGCTTCAAAACAATATAGTCTGTTGTTCTATTGTTAAATAGCGTGATGTAAGCTAAAATTAGATACTTAATGGTTAATTACTAACTGACAGCATTTTCTCTCTCTCTCACAGACTGCTCCAAGAACAGCTTCGATTTCTTAGGAATGAGCCACGGTCTCTGACCCCCCGCGGCGTGCGGAGACAGCTGGACGCCTGCAGCGTGTGCGCTGAAGTCAGCTGTGCGCTTTAAGATCTTGAGTATTAAGTTGCCACCTGAAATAAATAAAATTCTTGTTGCATAGCTTTGCCTGTCCAATATAATAATAATAATTTTCCACCACAATCACCGAACGCCATCTAATCCCAAACTAAGCAGAGCTTGTACTATGGGTACTAGACAACTGATATGAATACATATATACTTTTTTTTTGTAAATACATACATATTATACATAGAAATACCCAGACCAAATCAAATATTAAATGTTCATGCATACAAATGTTTGACGTGAGCGGGAATCGAACCCGCGACCTTTGGAATAATAGCTTTGGAATTGGCATCTAAAAACGAACAACGAAGAAAGTTAAGCAAGTGCTTAAAGTCCTTTGTGTTACGTTTGTGATATAATAATGCTTGCTAAAACCAAGTGACAAGAACGGGGCAGGCCTTGTTCTTGTCACAGCTGGTCATATTTGTGAAACTTGCTGGGAAACCTGTTTCGGTTTTCCGCTGAAGATCAGTCAAATACGATAGTGCTTCTTACATAAACACTGCATACGGGGACAACGGAAGCGAAAATACTCTACTGATTTCTAACAACAAGTAGCAGGAACTGCCACGAACCAATAATTAGAATGACTTTAATTTTTGTCCAAATTAGTGAAAAGACAAGACAGTATTTTTATGGTTGAAACAGGGTTATGACACCGTGGGAACGTAATCGTAACCTTTATCTACACAACCTACCTCCCGTTACTATGATAAGCACGTGTTCTTCTTGTCCCAGTTGCCCGAACTTCATAACAGAAACCAGATCTGAAACGGCAGAATGTTTTTGGTATATTAAAAGCTTACAGATAAATTGAAGAAATCACCTTTAAAAGCAAGCCGTTAAGAGTTTTGGAACAGGTGTCATATTAGTATTTCTAGTAATTGTTTTGTTTTCTTTGAAATTAAATGTTATATTAAAATATATACGAAACTGTAGACACTCAACACAAATGCGAATGTCCAAATTTCATTAACAGCCTAGCGATTTCATGAAATTTTGAAATTGCTGTCGGCAGTTGTGGTTCTCGTCGACTACACTGAATTCTTTCTGCAGATTCATATCTCGTTTGTCATAAAATTGTAGTGTCATCGGAATCGAACCAATATTTAAAATCAAGGTAAAAATCAAGGTAAAATGAAGTGGTTTTAATTTAGCAGGCAACATTTCACCCAAACTAACAAGAATTACAAGTAAAGCTTAAAAAAAGAACAATGAGACCGTATCTATCTATGGCCTTACCTCTTACAAATATAGTGTCTCGTCTCGCCTTGCCGTCGTACAAGTGCACATGTCCTGTTGCCAAAGCTACAGCTGTAAGCGTCACGCCCAGGTGCAGGACAGGAACCAGAGTCATCGCCACTGGACGGTGCTCGAGGGTCAAACACCACTGCTTTTTACCCTACAACGATAAACGAGTACCTAACGTGTAAGACTTGATGTGAGAATAAAAGGATTCCAATTCTCATGTTTTTCCAAAGTCTACCAATTTTTTATGGAAATGCTTAAACAATTTTATTCATCATCATCAACGTCACCAATAGCCTTTAATAGTCCACTGCTGGACATCGCACTCCTTAAAAAGATTCTTCTTATATAATTATTGCTTTAAAAAAGTTTAAAAATCTTTGTATTGAATTTAATGTAGGTTTAATAGGTCAACATTTTGGTCTGGAATGAAAAAAGTTCGGAGTTGATAAATAGCCCCGAGCTATTAAAAATTCCTCAAATTTATTGGCCAACGCTGGCCAGACGGGCTGGTACAGGGTTTGTGTCGAGTTTTCCTTTTCTTTACACTGTCGTTGTCCCGCGTAGTTTGCTCCCGAAACCCACGGAATCAATCCGTACCCTTAAATAAGATGTTTTCAAAAAACTAAGTTTTTAATTATTTAAAAAAGATTTCAAAGACCAGTAACTATTAGTGCAAAACAAGCAGGCCATCACCATGTATTTACCTTCTTACTATAACAAGCCAATGTGTTGTCAGCGCATATGACCATAACACTGTTGTCAGCTGTCACCACTTCTACCGCGATTATGTGCTCATCCGTGTTGAACAATACTCGACCTTCCGGCCAGTCGCGTTTAAGGATACATACTGACTTCTCTCTGGAACATTGAGGGTCGAATAAATATTTAAATTTAGGTACTTACTCTACTTTGCCTTTCACCGTGGCAGAGTCTTCGGCACAAATGGGTCGGCTCGATAGGAGTTTTACCAGGGCCTTTGAGGTTACTGGAGCTGAAAACCCCTACTCATATCAATGCCCATAAATATGAGGAGGGGAGGGAATGCATTTGTAGGTGTTTATGGGTTGCGGCAGTTATTTACAATAAAGTGACCCGTCTGCTTGTTTGTCCCGTAATAAAAGCACATGTGCTCACTCCTTTAAAAATATACAAGGCTAAGAGTAAGTTTCTATACCTATTTATGAGAGATATAAGGTTTTGCTCACTTGTGTATAACGGGGATGCCCCGTCGTGTGATACGGAAGTACACTATTAAGCGGTACACTATTAAAATCTCATATTGCCTTAAATAAATATAAATATTAGCGTGCAAGTGCAAACCATATTGCAAAGCTTATAATTATGCAAATGACCTGTTGACCTAGTGATTTGTTCTCCTGACTGCTAAGCCGAGGTCGTGGGTTCGATTCCTGCCCAGGGCAAATAATTGTGTGATGAGCGTGATCGCAATTGTTCCGTGCCTGTGTATAATTTATCTATACCTAATAAGTGTGTATTCAGAAATATAAAAATTATGTTTATCAACAGTTTGGTGGTGAGCCTTTATTATAGTGTAAAGTGCGAATCACATACAATTTTCAATATTATTTTCGCACACCTTGTTGCTATTGTAATTCTGTAGTCTACGTTATACATCCCGGTTGTAATCATTTGATATGGTGTTTTCTTTACTGCACATATTTTTGCCTGGACAAAATATTTACACATTTTTCATCAATTGAGTATAATAGGTCTTTACCTATGAAATTGCCGTTTTCTATGCAATAAGTGAAAGTACTTATTTTTTCAAACTTTTTTATTTCTGTTATTCAAAGTAATCACCCATGCAATCGACGAATCTTTGCCAACGCATTGGCAGTTTATTGATGCCCTTCTTGTAAAAATCAGCTGGACGGGAAGCAACAAACTCTTTAAAGGCATTTTGTACTGCTTCTCGGGAATTGAATTTTTTACCCACTAAAAAGTTGTCTAAATTTTGGAAAAAGTAATAGTCGGTAGGTGCAAGGTCTGGTGAGTACAAAGCAACCAGCTTTGGTCAATCGGTCGTCCCCACTGCTCCTTCACGACAACACGCGACCCCATACTGCGCAACAGACAGTCTCCAAGCTGCAAGAGCTGGGGTTGGAAGCTCTCCCTCATCCGCCATACTCACCAGACCTTGCACCTATTGCATGGGTGATCACTTCGAATAACAGAAATAAAAAAGTTAGAAAAAATAAGTACTTTCACTTATTGCATACAAAACGGCAATTTCATAGGTAAAGACCTATTATTTAGCAAAAATTATAAAGACAAAAAGCCCAAGTAAAATTGTAGCATCACTATTTTTCCGATTACATGCGAGGGTTGGTTCTCTAGTCTTAGATTATTAATATGTTAGTAATATAAGCATCTAGTGTTTGCTGTAGGAATTGGTGACTGCTTATCAGATAGAGAGATGTATGCTTGTTTGCAACAATACAGATATAAGAATGCAATATGGTTTATTAAGGTATAGTCTCGGAGCACTGTTTCACTAGGTTAAAAGTATCTAGCCATTCTTAGCATTACCAATTCAAAAGAGGTCAAAGGTATTTTTCTGCTTTTTTTTACATCATACTTAAACTATAACTTATATATGCTAATTTCATTTGTTAGAGTCAGGCATTGTTTGCTTGCATCAATAAGATATCTGAAAGAATACTTACAGATATCTTCGCAACCCCAAGACTTAATTTGTATAAAAACAGATTAGAAAAATCCATTTCATTTTTTAAAATTAGATTTAAAATAGATAGATTTCTGTCAAGAGACAAAATTGGAGATTTATTAATGTAATACAAAAAATCATAAATACCTGAGCTAGAGTTGAAAAGGTCTGTGGGTCCAATATCAACACATCACCATCTTCAGTTGCCACAACGAGACAGCTTACAGAGTACCGTTCGATAGAATGCAGTTTCAACGTAGTTATACAGACTATCTCCGCGTTCTTCTTACTCGGTACATCTGTGATGTTTTCTAAGTACTCCAACTGCTGGTCAGGTGTCAAATCAAGGAGGTTTTGGGACTGAGGTGATAAAAGTTTGTGAGGAATGGCTCCGAGACTGTCTGTTAGCGATTGTAATGATTCTATGTTATGGTTGGAAGGGTTTGTTAGCTGAAACAGTTTAATCAAATACCTATTAATACTTGAAGGGTAAAGACCACAAGCAACAATCTTCATTAAATTAAAAATATTTTTTTCTGCATCAAATAGTTGAATTCACAGAATAATTAAATTGATTAAATAGGGTTTCTGCTTTCATCATTAGCCTATCGCCCGTTCACTGCTGAACTAAAATCTGACCAAGGAACTCAACTATACCAGTCTTTAGCAGTCCGCATACGTCTGTTGCCAGCCACTGCTTAATTTCAAGGTAAAATAACCATCTGTGGCGGTTATCCTGCATCAATATACAATTATCTAAGTTATGAAACAGGAGACTTCAAGTTTCAGACCACACAATTTATAGTTGATACTGCATACTTGCTATTCTGGCTAGGTTCCTAGCAGTTTTAGGGAAACATAAAAAAAAAAAAACAATTATCTATACACACCTGCTTCCAAACTTCTATTTCACACATGTTCAACTCACTCGAAGGTAAGTAGTACTTATAGAATATTTTTAAATTCCTATACATGTACACACAGGAAGAGTAAGCCACAGCAATCAGAGGAACTGACCGAGGCATGGACTCATTGATTGAGAAACCAACCACTCCCAATGGAAGATCAGGAAGGATTGTGTCCGATATCTGCATTGCTCCTTTGAAAACCTGTAGATGGAATAATTGAAAAAAAATATAGAAATTGCATTTTTAAACAAAACTAAACTGAGATTTTTAGCGAATATTCACGAAAACTACAGAGAATCTATTTTGAAAAAGGTGTCTAAAAAAACAAGCAAACCCGTCAAATCAATTAGTGCGGTTTCTGGGCTTCCTCTTACACACTTCCGTCCCTTTTCACAAAATCACTTTCATATATTACTTACCTACAGGGAAAAGATATTTAAAAAAGAATCGGTACCTTCAATTTAGGTCCTTCCTCCCCTCTTCCAAGATCTCCCACAACAAGTTTAAATTCGTTATCGTTCTGCAAATCCACAAGGGCTAAGTTCGATGGCAAAGTAATAAGGTCTATGTCATCCGTGCCCACTTCGACATCTAACCAACGCGTCATGTTTCCCATCCTTAATAGAACAGTGTGAGTTTTGTCGCAGTATTCTTTGTACATAAGTTTCAAGAAGCGTATACATTTGTTTACTCTTCGTCGTCATAACAACGATCATGGCAGCTGTTGACAAGAGAAAACTATGACAAATCGACAACAATCAACATCGACTGCTTTGTCAATTGACAACAAAAAGTTTGCAAATACATAATAGAAGAACACTTTTTAAACGCAACTTTTATATTTTAGAACTTCTGGATGTGATAATTTAGAATAAAAATATGACGATTTGTATTTGTTATAATTGACTTTTCTTTTAGTTTATAAGCAAATCAATAAAAAACATTACTCCGAAGTGCAAGAATTTATATGGAGCTATTTTCGTAAACACCAACTTGTCCAGATGACATTCATTCGAAAGTTCGAAACATATCGAAAATCACTTTTAAGTTACATTTGGATGAATGGACAATTAAAGTTAAATTACTATGTTATAAATTATTATTGAAATTAATACTAATAAGATAGGAAAATGACATGGGTAAAAATAAATGAGTTACAAGTAAACCAAAGATATGGTTTAGTTTTGAATCACTGCGTTTGACATTAGGTAGGTAGTTTTTATTTGTTTGTTTCTACTTCTTCACTATGTACCTATTAATTAGTTTAAAAAAGTATTGTTTTCATATTTTTAAAGTTTTATAGTGAAGTGTATAGTTCAATTCGAAGACCGGCTGACTAAGTGCCTCTTGAGTGTTCTTTTAATGCCTCGTAAGAAGGTAGGAGAACTTTGAAAATAGTTTTGTGTTTCTCTTTTTTATTGTTTTTTTTTGTCCTAACAACATGAAAACATTACCTTTACTTGCTATTCACTTAAAAATAACATTTCTTTACCCAAATAATAAGCAAAAGAGGTACAATTACAACATTAATAAAAATGATTAAACAAGTATTTTACTTCACGAAATAAGGTAATGAACCCTAGATTATAAGACTCGTTCAAATGTATATAAACTGTTCTATAATTATGTCCTTATATACAATAAAGAGTTATCTCAAACTCTCTTTATTGCATAAAAATTTTAAAATTGTTTTAAATCGTCTTCTATGTAGACTCTAAAGTTATAGATCACACAAAAGCAACAATCTCTGTTTTGTCAAATAGTAAGCAAATAAATTTAATAAAAATTGAACTGATACAAATCTATGATATGCCTGTGCCGATCTACTGTGTTCTATCTATCTATGAGCTAAAAAGGTCAAGTTTTTTGCCTTTTAATATACAAACCTATTTTAGGCTATTCTGATACCCATTAAAAAAAAGTTTAAAAGTTACACTCATTAAATAATAGTGATATTACAATTGGAATTATAAAAGTTATTTATTATTAATAAATAATTTATTGATAATAAATTGTATATTGTATAATGTAATACTGCATTTGTTTTATCTAGTGGATATATATCTATATTCTATATTTTTAATAGATCCAACTATATCTTTTGAACTTGGTTCACTATGAATAAACTTGTTTTGCTTTCATAAGAACTCAACAACATGAGTGCAGTTAGTAATATCCATAAATTGAATTTAAAACAATAAATAAAACAATCTCTTCAAATAATTCTATTATCATTGCAAAGTTAAAGAAAGAAGTCATATGTCCCGTTTACTTTCAGCCAAATCTTTGGTATATATCTTTCTAGTAGAACAATTCCACAGAATTCCATGTTCTCTTACACCAGACCATGGCTATACCAATGACCATACTAGTAACATTGGCTTCTTAAAGTATATTTTCAATAACAATCACCCAATTAATGACTAGGAATCTGCAGGGAAAACAGATTCATGTCCATATTCATTATGGCACATTTTGCAAGGATTGCTTACAAAATTCTAAATTTATTTTGCTTAAATTAAATAACAAGTTATCGTCTACAGAATTTCCGGACCGATACAACCTTCAAGAAAAGAGCCTACTCTTGCCTAAAAGACCGGCAACGCGTTTGTGATTCCTGCGTTGCAAGCGTTCATGGGCAGCAATAGTCACTTTCCATCATGTAACCCGTCTGCACGTCTGACCCCTCTTACAAAAAAGTAATTAAACATCTACTGTTAAAATTTCTAAAATTATTAAGTTATCTAAATATCTTTATGATAACATCAAACTCCAAATCTTTCTGAGAAGTGTATTAAAATATAATAAAAATTACGAAACATGGTCTAATTCAGTTATCAACCCACCATAATCTCTTTTTGAACTGTAAATTATATAATTTTCTTGTTAATGTTTTAATATTAAAATGTCACCAAATGACGTGAATTGGGCCGACTAGCGGAACGAACCTTGTTTCTTCCCCCTGGATAGGCACCGCGTTTGATTCGTGTGGATTTTGAAATCACTTTTCAATATGATTTCCAAGTCCACACAATGAGAGGACCTACTCCCCAGAGTAGTAGTGGTGGTAGAGTAGAGTCTCAGGCCGGCCGTAGGGGTGGTTTTTAGTGGAAACGCCACATATTCCTGGCTCCTGCATTGCCACAATGGTTGCCCCGGGATCCGCAGAGATTTTCGTCACAAAAAATGAAGAAAGTTGTTTTAGAGCATTCTAGCAAATAATCCAGAAGTACAGGCACAACGGAAACCGCAACCGCGATCTGAAATGGCAATCGAATATGTTTACTGAGGTAAAATTCTTGCATAATCTCATATAAAGAAATATACCTGTAAACAATTCCCCGTAACAATCAAAGAAATTCCTCGATGAGTCATCGCGTGGTGAACGGAAAATCGTTACTAGGTTCGATGCGAGTGGTTTTGCAACTTTAAACTTTGTTTTATTTGGCCTTTCTGTTTGGACGCGGCTGTGGACTGACTCACCAACCTGTTTCTCTAGTCTGTGTTCTGTTCCCGCCTATTTTATCAATAATTAAGTTGTCATTTTATTTTCCAAATTGTATAAAGCAATCATTAATTTCGTTGAAGCTTATAAAAGTCCAGTCAGTTTGAATAGTTGAAATTATATTCTAATAATATTAATGAGTTTTTCAAGTTGTTCAAAATTATGTGTACCTCGGTTAGGTAGAAACAACTTCGAGGACGAGATGAATAGAAGAATTCAGTTGGGTTGGGCAGCATTTGGGAAGCTACGTCGAGTCTTCTCATCGTCGATCCCACTGTGTCTTCAGACGAAAGTCTTCAATGAGTGCGTCCTACCCGTCATGACACACGGAGCCGAAACGTGGACACGGTACGGCGCGTCCACAAGTTCAAAGTAGCTCAACGTGCTATGGAAAGGGCTATGCTCGGCGTTTCTCTAAGGGATCGCATCAGGAATGAAGTGATCCGGCAGAGAGCCAAGGTCACCGGATCAGCAAGCTGAAGTGGCAGTGGGCTGGCCATATTAGCCGCAGAAGCGACAACCATTGGGGACAACGAGTTCTTGAGTGGAGACCGCGTCTCGGCAAACGTTTTGAAACCGTTGAAGAGATATAGCTTTTTGAATCTTAATAGGTGTTGACAAGATACCACGGCTTTCTTTTAAAAATCACTACACATCAAATCACGCACGGCGAGGTGGTCTGAGGCCCAAGTGTGAGTTTATTTTATTTCTACTCGATCGTCACGTGTTCAGCGCTGCGATTGGTAATCTTCACCAATCGCAACGCCAAACGCGATCGTTGTCGAGAGCGAGTTGATGTGAAATAAATTCGCACTTGGCCATCTGATCCTGTATTAGACAGAGCTTGTGCTACAGTAATCAGAATCCTGATAAACGTACTTACATATTGCTAAATGAGACAAGAAATTGTCGTGCTTATTACATAGCTATTGGTCTAGGCCAAACAGTTGTGGGAATCGAACCCTACTAACTACTAGACCAACAGGCCAGTATTTCCTTGCATTTGGGATATCCTCCGACCCTTTTTCTTAAACAAGATTGTGGTCGGCTTTTAATTCTACTACGATATGGCTGAACTTCAATTTTTTAGTGCAAATACGTAGGTCAGACAAAAATATTTTCATGTTTCCTATATTTTTAGAGTGCGGTTTAGCGTAGTCAGTTTTAAGTTAAAAACATTTACGAGTAGTTTTTCCAAGTAATTTTACGACTGCTCATTACATCACTAACATCGGAAAAAGATTGCAATTATTTACCATTTGGCTTTAATACATTCAACTTAATTTCGCTAGATGGCGGTAGGCGTACTTTGCACTTGTATGTGCTGCATCAAAACTAAACATTATTTACCTATCTGAAAAAAAAAATCCAAAAAATTATATTAATAATATCTATATCCTGTGTCGCGGGGGACTTTACAAACATACGTGTAACGTAAAAAAAAAAAAAAAAAAAAAAAAAATGTGGTCATCGAACCAACAACACTCGACGCAGTAGAAAACGGCGTGGCGACCGCTGAAACCACTACCCCCTCCGTGTAGTCAATATAATAATTACTAGCCCTACAACCCGCGACTCCGTCCGCGTATGTTGGTTATGGCGGTAAATTCGCGCCCTTACTTATGTGAAAGAATTTTTAAAATCGGTTATGTAGTTTAGGCATGGGAAACAACAAACTCACTTTCGCATTTATAATCATCATCATGAACAGACTTTATAGGTCCACTGCTGGACATAGGCCTCTCCTTAGAAAGGAAGTTTTGGCCGACTATAAAACGGAGGCCAGATGGTTCGGTATAGATTTTGTTTCAAGTTTTCTTTCTCATTGCAGTACTGTTATCTTGCAGAGTTTGCTCCCTTAGTCGGCTCTTACGACACCCACGGGATGAATAGGGGTGGTGACAGTGGTTACACTCCGTATTCTGTATCCGTCACCACACGAACATACATTTTGTTTTGTTTAAAAGACATTTATAATATAAGTATGGATACACCCTGACCTAGGATCGTGCTGCGGCTGCTCGTTTATGGCCCATATCTTAGCAAAAAAATTAAGTTATGAAACATCTACATCTGTATATCTATACAAATAAATAAAATTGAAGTGTCTG